GGGTAAGGCAGGTAATGGCTTGAACCCGGGAAGCGGAGGTTGCAGTGAGCTGAGATCCTGTCATTACGCTCCAGCCTGGTGACAGAGCCAGACTCTGCGTCAAAAAAAAAAAAAAAAAAAAAGGGGGGGGGGGGGTCGGGGGATGCCCGGCAAAGTGGCTCGTGCCTGTAATCCCAGCACTTTGGGAGGCCGAGGCGGGCAGATCAGATCACGAGGTCCGGAATTCAAGACCAGCCAAACCAACATGGTGAAACTTCATCTCTACTAAAAATAAAAGAATTAGCCAGGCATGGTGGCAGGTGCCTGTAATTCCAGCTACTCAGGAGGCTGAGGCAGGAGAATCACTTGAACCCGGGAGGCAGAGGTTGCAGTGAGCCAAGATCGTATCATTGAACTCCAGCCTGAGCAACAGAGTGAGACTCTAAAAAAAAAAAAAAAAAAAAAAGAATTACTATCTTCCTTAAACTAGCCTCACAACACGAGCTTCGAATGTGACAATGTAGGTAAAGTACTTTGTAAAGGTCAAGGTGAAGCAGGTTCTTCCTCAAAGTGTGGTCCAGGTCAGGCCACATGCACTGGAATCCACAAGAAGGGGGCTGGGAGAGGGGTACTGGTTATTTTTACAGCTTCCTGACCCTACCAGACAACACAGAATTAGAATCTAGGAGGTCAGCATCCAATACCTGCTTTTTTTTTTTTTTTTTTTGAGACAGAGTTTCGCTCTTGTTGCCCAGACTGGAGCGCAATGGCTGGATCTCGGCTCACCACAACCTCAGCCTCCCAGTTCAAGCGCCCTGCCTCAGCCTCCGGAGCAGCTGCAACTACAGGTGCCTGCCACCACGCCTGGCTAATTTTGTTTGTATTTTTAATAGAGACGAGGTTTCACTATGTTGGCCAGGCTGGTCTTGAACTCCTAACCTTGCAATCTGCCCGCCTTGGCCTCCCAAAGTGCTGGGATTACAGGTGTGAGGCACCCTGCCTGGCCCAATACCCGATTTTAAACAGCACCTCCAAATTCTTCATATGCACCCCAATGTTTGAGAACCCCCATCCACACACATGGTGACCACTACTGGGGTCTACTCCGCGTAAGATGTGGGCTGGTCTGAAATAAGTCACAATTTAGTTGAGAAATCAGGGCTTACATATTCTGGCATAAATAACACAAAGCAATGCATTTGGGCTACTGAAAAGAAACGTTACAGGAACAAAGGAATGAGGGAAGTGGAAAGCCACGGTCCCAGAAAGAATGAAGGAGGGGCTGCTGACCTGCCAATGGGTGGAGCTGACCTGCCAACTGGGCGGAGCTCAAATTGCTCAGGAGAGAAGGATGAGCCTTGATGGACTGGAGTCCAGCCCTGGAGAGGAGCTTCCAAACACAGAAATTAGTCAGGCACAGTGGCTCATGCCTGTAATCCCAGCACTTTGGCGGGGCTGGGGTGGGTGAATCACCTGAGGTCAGGAGTTCAAGAGCAGCCTGGCCAACATGGTGAAACTCCTATCTCTACTAATAACACAAAAATTAACTGGGCTCGGTGGTGCACACCTGTAATCCCAGCTACTTTGGAGGCTGAGGCAAGAGAATCACTTCAACCTGGGAAGCGGTGGTTGCAGCGAGCCCAGATCGTGGCATCACACTCTAGCCTGGGCAGCGAGAGTGAAACTCCTTCTCAAAAATAAATAAATAAATAAATAACATATCTTGCTGGGTGCCGTGGCTCACACCTATAATCCTGGCACTTTGGGAGGCCGAGGCAGGGGAATTACCTGAGGTCACAAGTTCAAGACCAGCCTGGCCAACATGGTGAAACCCCGTCTGTACTAAAAACACAAAAAATTAGCTGGGTCCAGTGGTGAGCACCTATAATCGCAGCCTGGGTGGCAGAGCAAGACTTGCTCTCAAAAAAAGAAAAAAAAAGTATCTAAGAAAAAAGGTGGGTCAGTCCAGGATACCAAACAAAGGGAGAGTTGAGGCCCACAAACTGGAATAACTGAAATAACAAGTGGATCACCGGAGATCAGGAGTTCAAGACCAACCTGGCCCAACATGATGAAACCCGTCTCTACTAAAAATACAAAAAACTAGTCAGACATGATGGTGTGTGCCCGTAATGCCAGTTACACGGAGGCTGAGGCACAAGAATCGCTTGAAACTGGGAGGTGGAGGTTGCAGTGAGCCAAGATCATGCCACTGCACTCCAGCCTGGGTGACAGAGAGAAACTCTGTCTCAAAAGGAAAAAAGGTAATTTCCTGATGAAGTATAAGTGTCTGGTCTGAATGATAGTTTTCTCTGAAAACAGCATTCTGACTCTCTTTTTTCTGAGACAGAATCTTGCTCTTGTTGCACAGGCTGGAGTGCAATGGCGCGATCTCGGCCCACCGCAACCTCCACCTCCCAGGTTCAAGCGACTCTCCTGTCTCAGCCTCCCAAGTAGCTGGGATTACAGGCATGCGTCACCTCACCTGGCTAATTTTGTATTTTTAGTAGAGATGGGGTTTCTCCATGTTGGTCAGGCTGGTCTCGAACTCCCGACCTAGGTGATCTGCCCACCTCGGCCTCCCAAAGTGCTGGAATTACAGGCATGAGCCACCGCACACAGCCCTGACTTTCTTGTTTATACATCTGTCCCTTATGAATTTATTCAATGTGTATTGATCCTGCGGAGCCCTATTACTGCTGGGTCTACAAACAACAAACTTCGGAGCCTATAAAATAAAACTATAGGCCAGGCGCGGTGGCTGAAGCCTGTAATCCCAGCACTTTGGGAGGCCGAGGCGGGTGGATCACGAGGTCAAGAGATCGAGACCATCCTGGTCAACATGGTGAAACCCCGTCTCTACTAAAAATACAAAAAATTAGCTGGGCATGGTGGCGCGTGCCTGTAGTCCCAGCTGCTCAGGAGGCTGAGGCAGGAGAATTGCCTGAACCCAGGAGGCGGAGGTTGCGGTGAGCCGAGATCGCGCCATTGCACTCCAGCCTGGGTAACAAGAGCGAAACTCCGTCTCAAAAAAATAAAAAAAAATAAAATAATAAAATAATAAAATAAAACTATAGAATATGCTAACAAAAAAACAAAGTACTGCCACCGTGTGGGCCTTTCCACAAGCTTAGCAGTCAGCCCCCAAGACCCAATCAACATGTAAATGAACCGGCAGACTATGATGTGGAGAAGACTCTACCCAAGGTCACTTTCCCCAAGCCACTGAAAACCTTTCATCAGCTCAAACCCTTATGAGCTCACCACATGGAACACCCAGGGGTCCTGCCCACTCCTGCAATACCCAACTCCCTCAACCTCCCAGAAACATCCTCAGGAAAGCTCTCTCCAATAAACTCACCGTAATTCTCTAGCAGTATGTGGCACCGAGGGCTGCTTTCCGTGGATCCCTCCCCCACCAACACGGAGTCTGGGGTCGGTCCATCTCAGAGTACCTGACACATTATCCTTTGCTTCTGGCCAAAATACAAGACCCTAAAATCGGATATTTTTTTATGATGCTCCCTTATTTTGAACTCTTCCTACTCCTTTCCATTTCACTCTCTTCAAACTTCTTTAAAACCAAAATCTTTTTTTTTGAGACTGAGTCTTGCCCTGTCACCCAGGCTGGAGTGCAGTGGCACAATCTCAGCTCACTGCAACCTCCTCCCCCTAGGTTCAAGTGATTCTTTCACCTCAGCCTCCCGAGTAGCTGGGATTACAGGTGCACACCACCACTCCAGCTAATTTTTGTATTTTTAGTAGAGATGAAATTTGGCTGTGTTGGCCAGGCTGGTCTCGAACTCCTGGCCTCAAGTGATCCACCAGCCCCAGCCTCCCAAAATGCTGGGATTACAGGCATGAGCCAACACACCCAGCGTCCCCTCTTTTTTTTTTTTTTGAGACGGAGTTTCGCTCTTGTTACCCAGGCTGGAGTGCAATGGCGCGATCTCGGCTCACTGCAACCTCCGCCTCCTCGGTTCAGGCAATTCCCCTGCCTCAGACTCCTGAGTAGCTGGAATTACAGGCACGCGCCACCATGCCCAGCTGGCCTCCCCTCTCTTTTAACCTCTTTTTTTTTTTTTAATGATGGGGTTTCACTACGTTGGTCAGGCTGGTCTTGAACTCTTGACCTCAGGTGATCCGCCTGCCTCGGCCTCCCAGAGTGCTGGGATTACAGGTGTGAGCCACCGTGCCCCGCCTCTTTTAACCTCATCATGCTTTTTTCTTCTGTATGCAAAACAAGTCTCTCCATCCTAAAAAGAAACCTGTAGCCCCTGAGGCTCCCTCCAGGAACCTCGACATTCTTTCTCTCAAATCACAGTCAGTCTTTAATCAGCCAAATCCGCCTCCAATTCACCAACTGTATTTCATTTTTCTACTCCCAGAAATGGGGTTTCTCTTCTCAGCACGTTCAAAGGTGACCTCATAATTTCCGCATCCCATGGGTGATTATCCAGCTGCATGTTTCTTGCCTTCACCCTGCCATGTGACTCCCTTTATTTTTGAAGCCCCTTCTTTTGGCCCCTAAGATTGTGCTAACCTAGTTCTCCTCCTTCTCAGCTCATGTCACCAGGCTGTGAGTACCATGGCAGAAGGCAGAATGGGAAAACCACGAGAAATGGGCAAAGGGCAGCGAGGGATGTGTTCCCAGTTTTGCTGGGACCTGCACAGCCCATTTCAGGTTTCCTTGCTCATGGTGGCCCCTGGAAAGGCACATGTCCGTCTGTACCAGAGACCTGGGTAGGCAACTCATGAGCATTCTGTCTGCTACCAGCTAAGATCTGAGTCAGGCCAGAGAAAAGGAGGTGGGAGGAGCAAAGGAGGTGGGAGGAGCAAAGGAGGTGGGAGGAGCACAGGAGGTGGGAGGGGCACAGGAGGTGGGAGGGGCACAGGAGGTGGGAGGGGCACAGGAGGTGGGA